GAGGTGTGGGGGGTGTGCACCCCCCCCGGGGGGGGGGGGAGGATTTCTCACTTTCTGTCTGTCTCTGGGGAGTGCATGCGTCCTATAGCAAAAACCTCTCCCCCCACAAAAAAAAAAAAGTTTTTGAGGTAAAATTCATTTCTGTCACTATATAGTTAAACTCCTTACCTGTGAAGCAGCTTTTCCCATTCTCTTCTCGCCACAGCTCCTAGTAAGAACCAGTCTGAGTTTTGTCTATATGGATTTATCTAGTCCAAAAATTTGATATAAATTGAATCATATACTATTTGACCTTTTGTGTCTGGCTTTTTTTTTCTTTAAATTAGGATAATATTTTGGAAGTTCATCCACACTGTAGCTTCTATCAGTACTTCATTCCTTTCTATGACTGAATAATATTGTGTATATATCTCAATTTATTTATCTATTCATTTGTTGTTGGACATTTGAGCTGTTTGTACCATTTGACTATTATGAGTAGTGCTGCTGTGAACATGTGTGAACATGTATTTATTTCAGTCCCTATTTCACTTATTTTGGATATATACTTAAAAATGGAATTATGGGGTTTAGTGTTTAACTTTTTGAGTAACTGTTAACCTGTTTTTCTCAGCCTCAGAAGCATTTTGTGTTCTTTCCAGCAGTATATGGATATTCCAGTTTCTCCACAGAGTTTCTTATGAGAAATCGTTATTCTTCTGAAGGTAATATATTATTCCCTGACTGCTTTCAAGAGTTTTCATTGTCTTTAATTTTCAGCAGTTCGATTATGCTGTATATGGGCATGGATTCCCTTTGATTTACCCTTTTTGGTGTATACCATGTTCCTTAAAATCTGTTGGCTTATATCTCTTGCCAAATTTGAGAAGTTTTCAGGTGTTAAGTCTTAAAATTATTTTAGCATTAGCACTCTTTCTCCTTTCTTTCTGAAAGTGTGATAATACTAAAGCTAGACCTTGTGCTATTGTCCTACAGTTCTCTGAAATACTGTTCATTTTTCAAAATTGTTTTTCTTTTCTCTATTGTTCAGATCAGATAATTTTTATTTATCAGATACCAAGTTCAGGGCCAGCCAGTGATGATTAAGGTGACTGGATCCACATCACTGACTATGTAGTTTAAATCCCAGACTCAGCAGCTTGAAAAACATGCTGGGTGTGTGTGTGTGTGTGTGTGTGGGCCCCAAGACCTAAAGGAGAAATGGAGAAGCAATTGTAGCATGGCCATCCTCATGAAGGGTGTGTTCTTACTTTTAACAAGCTCATGGACCCTTCAGCAAAATAAAAAAATATATGTATAAAAAACCCCAAATGCAAGTTCACTCTTATTCTGTTGTCTCCATTCTATTTTGAACTCACTTAATGAGTTTTATTTATTTGTTACCATATTTTTCTGTTCTAAAATTTTCATTTTGTTTTACTTTATGTCACATTTATTTGCTGAGTTTTTTCTATTTTTTTATTGTTTTCAAGAGGTTACTATTGCATGCTTGAAGCACTTTTTCAGTTGCCACTTTAAAGTTTTTGACAGATAATTCCAAAATTTGTAATTTTGGCATTGACAGCTATTGCCTTTTTTTTTTTTTTTTTTTTTAAGAGTTGCTATTGTTCACATGCTTCATTGGCCTGGTAATTTTGGATTGTATGAGATTTTAGTTTTGTTTTAATCCTGTAGAGAAGGTCATATCTTCTTTTAACAGGCTATCATCTTGGTTAAGTTCAAGTCATAAATTTCTACTCACATTCCATGAACTTTGGTTGTAATTTCAGTTTAGTTTTCAAAAGACATTGCTGTGTGGTTTAGGTCTGTACTGTGTCTGCCACCCAGTGGCCACTTTGGATCCGGACAATCATCATTCTTTTAGTTCAGCTTCTTGAGTCTTTATTACATGAATAGGATTAGATCCATGTATGTCCAGCTTGGGAGTTAGTCCAGGAATTAATAAACTTTTGGGGGCGCTTTACTGTGTTCCGCCTTTTTTTTTATCTTCCTGATACTTTTTGTTACCTAATGGCTGCTATTTTCTGTCCTCCAGCCAGAAAGCTAGGGTTTATTTGCCACACTGTGCACACACTTCTGTAACCACATCCAGCATATCCAAGGCCTAGTGACAGGAGTTGGAGGGAAAATAGGCAGTGGGGTTTGGCTTCACCCTTTGGAACAGTAACTCTGTTGAAAGGAGAGAAAGGGTCCTTTCCTCTACGTTTTGGCTGCATTAGCCTTTTATTACTGTAGTCTACCACTGCAAACAAGGGATTGCTTGGGGATGGAGACATGAGAAAATGAAGAAAATATTTGGCATTTCCACATTCTTCCTGAGCATTAGCCTTCTCTTTCCCATTCCTCAAGTTAGAACTAGAGGACTTCTTCTAGAGATCTCTCTTTGACCCAGGGCCTATTTCTCTTGTTTTCATTTTGGAGGTTACCAAAAGAGAAAAGTTCCCTACTGGTTTGGTGGCATTTCAGATTGTGGTCTTTCCCCCCTGCCTTACATGCTACTGTTTACTTCATGATCTTCAAACCGCTGCTCCTTGTATTCTTTTCAGGTAGAAGAGACAATTTAGAATGTGCTTCAACTCCATTACCAGGGATTAAAACATCTGTCTGTCTTTGCCCTTAAAACTATAAGATACCACCTAACCCCTGTCAGAATGGTGAAGATTAAAAATACAAAAAATGTTAAGTGTTGGCGGGCATGTGGTGAAAGGGGACCTCTCCTACATTGTTGGTGGGAATGTTAATTGGTCCAGTAACTGTGGAAAATAATATGGAGGTTCCTCAAAGACCTTCAAATAGAACTACTATATTATCTAGCAATTCTGCTCCTGGGTATCTACCCAAAGGACAGGAGAATGCTCAGTCAGTAAAGATTTATTGCTGAGTGAAGCAAGTCAGTCTATGAAAGAGACATTGTATGTCTCTACTTAGCATGCACTGTCTGTCTACACTCTGTGGTAGAGACGGAAAGGTTAGAGGGTATAAAAGCATTGTAACTCGTTATGAACACTGGAGACAGTGTAGGAGGAGTGTGGGAGGGGGGAAGAGTGTAGGAAATGTGGGGGGAAAATAGAGAAGTAAGACATTTGTGGGACATAGAAATGGTTTATTACCTGTTGATAATAATGTATATAGTATTCTCAACTGGACTTGTCTGAGGTATATTTCATGTTGCATAAATGATCTCTACAAGCTGAATGATGTATAACGATTGAATATATAAAATAATAGTAATAATAATATTAAATGTCATGTACTTGAGGCCAGCAGGTGGCGTGGTGGTTAAGGCATAGGACTTCCATGTGACTAATTGCAGTTCGAGTCCTGAACCTGGTGGCTTGCTTTCTCTTTCTTTCTCTCTGTATCTCTTGTTAGTGGGCATGTGTGCCCTATAGTAAATTTTAGCAAATTAAAAAAAAAATGATAATAGATAAAATGAAATAAAAATAGCATGTGCTCTACATGCTTGTGGCTCCAGGGTTATTTGTATTTTGTTTTTTTCCTTTGATAGGTTGTTCCAGGGAACATGGCTACTGCAATTAGGGAGGTGGGAGTTTGGAGACAGACCAGAACACTCCTACTGAAGAATTATTTAATTAAATGTAGGACTAAAAAAAGTAGTGTTCAGGTAAATTAAATGATTTTTTCTGATGCCTTATAGCAGTTTCTTTTGCTTTGATATGTTCTGTCTCTAAGACATGATTTATTTTGTTGGACTTTTTTAACTATAATTTTATTTATTTGCTCCTTTGATTTTCATATAAAGTTAAAGCTTGTCTTATCGGTCACAGAAAAATAACTGAACTACTTAATGCTCTCTAAATGTTAAAATATTTTAATATGATTCATAAAATTCTTTCATTTCTAACATCAGTGTTTGATTTTTAACCTTTGGGCATGCATTTTCCAAGTTTATGAACTGACATGAAACAAAACTTTGTGAAACAGTATTCTACAGTTTTATTTCTCACATTTTTGATTGAGTTGTCCAAGATTATTGAAATTATGACACAGATTTACATCTACAGCATACATTTTATTTTGTGATGGAGATCATGCACACATGTATACAGGAGAGAGACAGAGACAGAGAGAGAGCACGCACCTTCAACAGGGTCTTGTCATGGCTTGATTCCCTTTTCCGAGTCATCAGCTCTTCAGGATCCTGGGTACCTGCTCACATGTTGATCATCTTTTAAAGCCAGCCCAGGGATTCAAATCTATGGTCAGGATATGGCGTACAACCTCATAGGGTGTTTATGGTACCACAATGCCACAGTAGCTGGCTGGACCCATTATTTTTAAAGGCAAAAGGAAGTAAGAACTCTGGCTAATGAGCTGATGATAATTTCAAAGGATAAAATGTATGGTTCATTCTTTTGACATCAGGAGAATAAGATGAAATAATAGTTCAACCTTACCAAGGCTGACTATAGAATTTAATTGAGTATAATATTAGTAGTATAATTTATGTAGAGTTAAAGTATGTTTTCTAATTCAAAATTGAATAAAGACATTCTTATAGTGATACCTGTTGGGATGTTTACTAAATTATTTTCAATGAAGTTACATGAGTATATTTTTTATGTAAGTAGTATAAATGTTTATATATTACCTTTTACATCATTTCAATTTTTTACGCACTTGAATCTTAAAACAGTTCAGTAAAACTGAGTATGAAGGGGGGCAGCAGGTGGCATGTGACTAAGGCATTTGACTCCCACATAACTGACTGCAATTCAAGTCCTGGACCCAGTGACATAAAAATCATGCCAAGCAGGACCATCAGATGGCATAAAGGTTATGTTGCTGGACTCCCATATAGTTGACCATAGTTTGAGTCCTGAACTCAGTCGCTTAAACCTTACACTGAGCATGTGTGCATGCCCAAAATCCCAAGAGAAGAATGGAGGAGAAGGGGTGCAGTGTGGCCATTCCCCCTGGGGGTTGATTTCTCACTTTCTGTCTCTCCAGTGAGCACATGTGCCCTACAGCAAAAATCTCTCTCTCAAAAATAAATAAATAAATAAATAAAAATGATCCCAGGCATGTGTGTGTATGTATACCCAAATCCTAAGAGGAGAATGGAGGAGAAGGGATTATAGCATGGCCATCCCCCTTGGGGAGTGAGTTCTCACTTTCTCTCTCTCTATGTCTCTCCAGTGAGCACATGCACTCTATGGCAAAAACCTAAAAAAAAAAAAAAAACAAACAAAAACAAAAAAAAAGTACCCTCCCTCCCCCCCAAAAAAAAGTGAGTGCAAAAGAAAAATCATTTAAAATATTTGCTGGGTTTGATGAGATGCTCAATGCAATAATTTTGGGAGGATAGAATTGCTTTTACTTTCATGTACTCAAGAAAGGACAGGACTGGCCCATTAGATTAGTGGTTAAGGGAACCAGGGGGGATAAAAAAGAATAAGGGAACTAGATCCCATATGGTCAGCCACAGTTCAGATCCTATTCCTGGTGATTTGAAGAACATGCCTAGTGTGTGTACCCAGAATTCTGATGGGATGGAGAAATGGAGAAGGGATGGCAGTATGAGCATGTTCCACTGAGGGGACTACTTCTCTCTGTCTCTCTGTTTGTCTCTGGCAAGCACACACACTCTCTGGCAATTAAAAAAAAAAATTGCCAGCCAGTGTCATGGTGGTTAAGGCAGCTGGATCCTACTTCAACTACGTTGTTGAACTCCTAGGCCCAGTGGCTTGAAAGGCACACTGAGCACATGTTTACCCAGAATCTGTAAAGGAAGGAGTGATAGAAGAAAAGGGATTGTAGCATGACCATTTCCTATGGAGGTGCTGTCTCATTTCCTCTCTCTCTCTTTCTCTCTGCCTCTCTCACACACACACTAGCAAAAACAAACAAACAAACAAAAAAAAAAACAAAATAAAAAAGAGGATAACCAAATTCTTCAAGCTTTTTCTTAGTATAAGGTTATATTACTTGTATAGAAATCTTGATGATTTTTGCCCTCATTGTTATACTTTGCAAACAATTTGTTTCTTGTTTCTTTTATTGTAGGAAATTCTTTTTCCACTTTTCTTTTTATTTTGGTTAATATTAATTAGCATGATGCATCCAAATAAGAAATATCATGAAGTACCTGATGTGGAACTTCATCCTCTGGACAAATTTATCCTCTCTAACCTAGTTCTTGGATATACTCCGGTGACTAATATTACAAGGAACATCATGCAGAAAGTGTCTACTGAGCACCTTCCTGATGGTAGTGTGAGCTTGTATACGTATTCTGTCTATGGTGTGAAACCTATTCAATACAGATTTTCTTTGCTGAGTAAATACAATTCTTAATATTTAGAGATGTGCCCTTTCACCAAAGGATAATTTATTAAAAAAATAAAATAATTTGATTCTGCTGTTGCATGTTTCTTGTGAAATAGCAATTTATACACTTGATATAGGAAATGTATTTTATGTGTTTTCACATTTTAAATTTAATTCTTAGATTATTTATAAAATAAGCACATTTATATGAGATAAAAGATTTGAAAGAATATTTCATTTGATTCTGATCTTCATACAATAATTAATAAACCAAAATATATGACAAAGATTATAAAGCAGTATATTGCCAAATCGCCTTGCTTGTTTGTGGAGGTACGTGATGTAAACTGAAGAAATACTTAACTGTGGAGATAATGACTGTAGTTAAATACCTAAGTCTTTTTTCCACAGTGTGTACTTCCCAAAGAGATGACCTAGAAAGGGAGTGGCTGGGAAGTAAGCAGCTAGTCAGCCTACAGTGCCTGAGAGAGAATCTAAAGCAAAAACTGGGAAAAGTGACAGGAATGTTTATACTAAAATGATTAAATAATGAAGTGTTGAATTGTAGAAAATAACAAACAGTGGGACCAGTGGACAGCATAATGGTTATGTTGATGGACTCTCATGTGGTTCCACTGTACTTCAAGTCCTGGACCCAACGGCTTAAAACTCAAGCCAAGTGTGGGTGCATGTGTGCCCAAAATCTCGAGAGGGGAATAAAGGAGAAGGGATGTGGTGTGGCCATTTCCCCTGGGGGAGGAGGGTGATTTCTCACTTTTAGCCTGTCTCTCCCGCAAGTGCACGTGCCCTATAGCAAAACTCTCTCTTAAAAAAAAAAAAAAAAAAAAAAAGGAAAGAGCAAACAAATTAGCATGTTGTCTTAGGTCATACAGGATAGTTGTAATTAACTTCTAGTCTATGTCATCACATTTTTGAGTAGTGCATCACTGTGTGGAAGGTAGTACTTACATAGTCAGGAGCCAAATCATTTTTTTCTTGCTTTACTCCTAGTTAATATTTTTATTAAACATATATATCTTATTTATATTACTATATATTTGTTGTTTGATCACATTCACCATAAGTGGCATGGATAGCCCTAACAATGTAATGTATAAGCCTAAAGGCTGAACTGAAATGCTGAGAATGAAATTCCTTGCTAAGTCTGAGTACAAGCAGAGAGTATAAAGTAAAGAAATGCAACTCAGTGTATATTAACTTAATTTAACTGCTAAAGTAGTAAGTATATGTACATTTTTTTAAAAGTTGTATCTTTAAAAACATACTTGAAAATGGGTTTTATATATATATATATACACATTAACATGACTGGTAGGATGTTGAACTAACACTTTCTATTCAGGTCAGTCCCAAAGTTCATTTACCACATTTAAGGTCTAGAAAACCATGTTCATTAACACTTAAGTAATTCTTTATAATTTGCAGGTGCATTGTTATGTTTGTTAATTCATTTGGTCTTCAGCTGTATATTTGTGCATTAGGACATTAAGTTAGAGTTAAATTGCTTATCTGTACTCATACTGTTGTTGAATGATGAAGATAGGTACTAACCCTATGTTCTAAAGCTTCCTTATTGAAGATTAGTTGCTTGTAAACAAAACCGCAAGAAATATTTAAAAACTGGTCTTATCTTTATTACAATATTTATATTTTTAAATAATTTATATATTTTTTAAAAA